TGCCAAGCCAAACGTTCATGCATGTTTGTGTGAGGTTTTGCATCTTGAAGAGCCAGACCAGATAGGTGTTCTATGCATGTTTGGAGGAGCGGGACTCATCATGAGGATTTGTACGGTACGTGATTGGTGAATAGAAACTCAGCTGCTAATTATGGAGGAAAGAGTTCCTACAGGTCAAGGGTATATGCAGCATGGAGGTCGGATACTACTTTCATGCATGCTGGAGTGTACGAGTGAAGGAAAAGAAAGCAAAGAAGGAACTCAGAAGGAGGAGAGATCACGGAATGAGATTTTACGTAGATGAATTCTTTGGTTGGAGAATACAAGTTCTATTTGGATTACCTGATACCTGGTACGTCTCGCGTGCAGGGCCAAGCAAGGATTATATTAGGAGGGATATTTTTATTCTAGTATTTGTTTGTGATTAGGACTCCGACTCCTGTAACCCTGCCCAAGACCAGGCAGACCCATATATATTATGGGGGTGCGGCCGATTGTTTTTTCCTCTCTAGCATTATCAATCTATTATTTTTCTAGCATTATGTTTTCTTCTACCTTAGGACAGGAGTACACGCCGAACCCTAATCTCCATTAGGGATTGGTAATCTTTACCGTTTTGCGTTGAAAAACGATCGGCTCTCCTCCACGAAAGCGAGAAACCCTTTGCTAGTTTGTCTTGGAAACTAGTCGCTCATCGTCGCGAAAGTACGATAGTTATCGTGGTGTCTTGTGATCAAATTTTCGCGGCAACAAAAACATGATTTTGTCGACCATCAGATGTCTGAGATAAACAACAAAAGGGGCATTACTACTGTCATGGCTTCCGAACAGGCCACGTGGGCCCTTGGTCAGGGATTGCTTCTAGCCCTTGAGGCCCAAAATGGTCGGTTGCTGTAGGCCCAAATGAATAAGTTGTTTATTATTATTGAAAAAAAGTCCATCTAACCTCACTCAACTATTTTGAGAACCCATCAACTTTTTTTGTAAACCTTGTCACAAAAAAAAACTATTTTGAAAACCCAATTTGCTTGTCGCAATGGGGAAACTAATTTTTTATACTTCTTCAACTTTTGATACTGTCACATTTACTTCCCGGAGCGAATCACGTAGCACCACACGTTAGCCACGGGGACATAGATTAAACTTTCACCATAGCTCAATTTGAGGGCCTCCCTACTTAAATGGCATGAATACGAATCCTTATAGAACAAGGATTTTTAGTTAGACCAATAAAATTTAGTTTAGGGGCTTGTTTAGAGGTCTTATTACTTGAGTTGCTCTTAATTAAGAAGTTGGTACCATAGTGGCGGTTGAAATTATGCCATCGAGGAGTATGCGTGATTATTGAAAAAGGAAGAGGCATGGTAAGGGCATCTCCAAGAGTTTTCAAACCCCACTCCGAATCTTGATTTCTTTGGCAAGATTGAAAGAAATCGCTCTCCAATAACTCCTATTTAAGCTCCCAATCTTTCCGCACTTGGGATAATCGACCAATCACACGAAAATACACCCTTATATCGATCAGCCAATCTCGAGATGGAAGGGCGTGGGGAAGAATATGAGAGTAAGGCAGAGTTCCGAATACAAATGTGCAAGAAATAGAGAAAGTATAAAAGTGGTTGGGTGATATGAAAATAGCCTGGAATTCCCGATGTAAAATGTCTTTTATATTTTAGGAACGAGGTTTTGGAAATGGTTGGAGGAACCCGATAAATATGCTCCCAATTTTTTTAGCCACTTAAAAAATCCATTGATTTATCAATTATTTTTTAGAACTATTGGAGATGCTCGAAGGCAGAGTATAAATGGTTGGTAAAAATAGAACGATACAATATTACTACATCACACACTTTTGAAAACATACAACATCACGCACTTATTCTTGAATGATGCTAGGTGTGCTATTGCACAGGCTACCTAACGCACGACACACGAGTAAGCACCAAACTGTTTTGGTTGCCGCCCAACCCGGCACTGGACAACGACATCACAAACTTCACAAGAGCCCCGTGAGCGGTAGGACGCACAAAGGAAATAAACGGACATCACGCACACGAGCCCCACCTTTGTGGTCTTGAGCACCCAAAGGAACCGGCAGCCGCCGAGCTCCGCGCCGACTACTGCAAGGACGGAGCCGCCGCGGCGCCGCGCCCTGGGGACCGCGCGCACGTCGTCGTCGTCGTCGTCGTCGTTCTGCTGCACGTCACCGTGGTCTCCCAGTACGTTCTCTGCGGCCTCTACTGGGGGTACACCAGGAGCACGCGCCCGGACATCCTCGAGGACAGCTTCTTCGTGCTTGGCATCGTCGCGCCGGTCGCCGCCGGTGTACACCGTGTGCAGTCCGTTGGGCAAAGGCGACCGGTGCCACGTGTCAGTTGATCTCCACCATAGGCCCAACGGTTTATTGGGCCCTTATCTCTGCTCCCTGATCGGGGGCGCCCAATCCTAATCTGGTTGGTGGACCCCTGTCGCACAGCACACATAAAAGGAAGGTGGGGATGAGGGCTCGGACAATGAGGTTCATCGGAGCCGCCACCCACTCAACACAGTAACCCTAATCCGATCTAAAGGCCATACTGCCAGCGACGGGATGAGCCCCAACCACCACCGTCGACCCACTGCAGGGTCATCACCGGACCGCTGTCTCTACACCAGCGCCACTGGACTTCACCGCCACCGCGCTGGACGTCTTCTACACTGCGGCACAGGCGTCTACCCGCTACGGTGCATCTCCAGAGAGAAGGCGAGGAGTCTACCCAGATCTACGGGTCACACAGAGGTACCAATCCTACGATCCTAACACCACGAGCTCGCCGCCTGCTCCGGTTCAGCCTCGGCAGCATCGGCGGCGGCGACAAAGACGACGCAGCTCACCACACCCATTGTTGGGCATGTCGTGGTGGAGCCAGAGTGGGCCGGCGGCATGTTCGACTGCGGCGGCGACCGGGTGCCTCTCGCTGTCGTCCACGTTCTGCGTGTTCGGGTGGAACATGGAGAGGCTGGGGTTCGGCAACGCGTGCATACCGCAAGAGCCGTATTGGTGTAACCTTGATTAATTCCTTACTATTCCTAGGAAAGATGGTGCCGTTTTATCACCAAAACAAGTACTTTTTCTGTCTAAATTATAAGTCATTTTAACTATTTTGATAAGTCAAAATATTTCACATTAAATAGATATACTATAAAAATATAATTAATAAAGAATTTAATGATATTTATTTAATATAATAAATATTATTATTTTATTATATAAATTTTATATCATAAAGTTAGAATAATTTATTAGCGGTGTTTTGTGATGTGTGCTTTGTCTGGTTGTCTCTTTCAAGGGTTCACGTCGACCGACTGTATTGCCGCGCCGATAGCCGGGTGTAAAATAAAAGTATTCCTCGGACACTCTGATCTCTGCATTTTGTCTTTTGCATGAACTAGTGGTCATATTTCAACGTCAATACGTTATTATGTTTGCTACTACTAGAAGCATTCGGTTGATAGTGATCTTGTGGCTTTTTGAATGTAGTAGTAATAAATAGTTTAAGATATTAACTATACTCCTCCTATTCTAAATTATGTCGTAATGGCTTTCATAGCTCTATAATATTTTTGCTACGCATTTGAATATATATTGTATGTAGATATATAATAAAAAATCATGTAAAAATTAAGAATTATTTATAATTTAGAATGGAGGACGAATTTAAAATTCATTAGCTTTTATAAAAAAGCCTATGATTAAACTTATTATCATAAGATGGGCGAACTTTGAACCCTAAAATTCAAATAGGGCCTATTATATATTATAAACTTTTATTCCATAACTAAGTTTTTGGTCAAACTAAGAACAGTTTAACGTCGGAGTAGGACAATTTCAAATTCAAAGCTATTGCTGTTGGTCTCTCTGATTGGTCGGTCCACTTTGGGAAAGAAGAAGAAGAAAAAGCACCAGGACAACTCCAAATCACATCACAGCTCGCCCACCTTCCACTTGCTTTGCTTTGATACTCGTACCATTTTTCCCCCTTTCTTTTTCACTGGACTGTGCAACGGGAAAATCATGGTATTGCTTTTCTAATTATGGTTTAATTTTTTTTCTCGTCTTCGATCAGTCAATTACGTCATCGCCTTCCATATTAATTTTCTTTTTACCTCTTCATGCACGGCCTTCAATTCTGGTTTTCTTTCCTTTAATTGCGCAGGTAGGGAAGCGATTATATGGGAAGTTTTTTTTTCTGTCGGGTGGACTTGTGTTGAGGGATGTTTGATACTGTCGGGTAGACATTGACAATTCATATGTTTTAGTTGTAAAGAAGAGATAGAGATATGTGAAGTTTTTGTTGCTGTCAGGTGGAGCTGTGTTGAGAGGTGTTTGGTCTCGCCGGATAGAAGTTGCATATGTTTTAGTTTTATATATTATAGAGATTCGTTCGCATAGAAACTCCGTCCCGCAAGCAAAGCAAAAAAAAAAAAAAGGCAAAAAAAACACACGCACACCTGCCTAGTACGTCTACGTACACAAAGCAAAGCAGAAGCCCGTGCACCGCGTCCACCGCGCACCGCCCCTCCTCAGGTGGGCGCCGCCTCCCCGTCCCCCGCCCCCCGTGCGCTCGTGCTCGTCCACCGTGGACCGTCCGCACACCCGCGCGCCTCGAACGGGACGACGTGGCGGTGCAGACGCAGCTGGCGCGTGGGCCCCGCCGAACCAGTGGCCCCCACGCGCAGTGGGCGAAGCGACGCGAAAGACCGCGGGATAAACGCGGCCCCCGGGAAAAATTCGGTGGAAATAATTCCAGTTCCTCTCCTGTGGGCTATGGCTCTCCTCTCCTCCCCCGGTCGGACAAAAAGCCGCTAGATTTTCTCGTCCTCTTTTGCTTGCTTGCGGTTGCGGGCAGCGACCAGCGAGAGACCTGTAGCCTTGTAGGGGAAGGAGGACGGGGGGGAGGGAGGGAGAGAGAGGTTGGTGGTTGTTTGGTGGACGAGCGGGTAGGGGAGTAGGGTGGGAGATGGAGCGGAAGGTCGTGGCGGTGTGCGCGGTGGTCGGCTTCCTCGGCGTCCTCTCGGCGGCGCTCGGATTCGCGGCGGAGGCCACCCGCGTCAAGGTGCGTCTCGCCGCATCCCCTCTCTCCTGCACCGGCGCGGCGGCCGGGTATGCTCTGCCCCGTTCCGTTCTTGAGTACAGTACGCCGGTACGGCGATGGCCTTGCCTCCGAGTGTTAGATCTCGGTCGCTCCTGAGCGCGGGACTTCTCGGCGGAGGAGCGGTCGGCGACTGGGCGCGCCGGGGAGCTGAGTCCGCTGCGGTACTCTAGTCTAGTACTGTACTACTAATGCCCTGCTGTGCCGGAGAAAGATTATTATGCTTGTTTGGGGCTATTAATAGGTGATTTTCACGCTTGCGCGTCGAGGGAGTGGACGGTAATGATCCTGAGTGTACCTAGCCGGTATGACCTAATGATGCAACAAGGACTCGAATAAAACCTTCCTTTCTTTTAGGTGTAATATATGCTGAGAGGTGAACGAAATCTGTGAGCCAGTGGCCTTGTCGTAGAAATAGAAATGGTTGGTTGCCATAGTGTGAGAGGTTTAGAGTGCTTCATTGATTTGATCTTGGTTGCAAGTTGCAACTGATCCATCCCAAGTGATTCGAATCAATCAGAATCTTCCGTCATTTTTATTGCCTTTTTGTTACCATTCTTCATCTTTGGCCTTTGGGGTCAGGACGCCACGTTGCCTTAGGTTTTCTTGCATATTTGTTTAGCTGCATATACTACCTTGATAGAACAGTTGTCCAAGTTTTTTCTTATCTCACTCTTGATGAGATAAAGGGCAGACCCAGTGCCGGAGGCTCCCACATGAGTGGGGTCTAGAAGGAAAAAACCGAGGCAAGCCTTCCCCCCACAAAATCTGCAGAGAGGCTGGTTCGAGCCTGCAACCTGGTGACTCAGTGAGACAGCTCTCACCACTGCACCAGGCGTGCCCTTCTCACTCTTGATGAGATAGCTAAAATCATAGGCGATGAGGCTGCATGTCACCCCTGCATACAAATCCTAAGACACATATGTTTATCATTTTTTTTTGCTTCTTTGTGCTATTCTTCTAGATTAAAATGCATTCTTTGTCACGTCTATCGGACAGATTCATGTATGTTTATGCCAATTTGATTTTGTCTTCAACCTAACTTACCATTTTAGAATCTGCAAATTTATTAATAATTGACTGTTTCACTTTATATGCTCTAAATATAGGGTCTGGAAATGGTTGTCATTCTTTCGCTAATAAATTGTACCTATATTTGTGCCCATGTCCAAATGTAACGTTCATCATGTGAATCATGCAGGTTTCGGATGTTCAAACAAGCGGTACTCCTGGTAAATGCATATACCCAAGAACCCCAGCCTTAGCGCTTGGTTTAATATCTGCCGTCTCTCTTATGCTCGCCCAGTCCATCATAAACACAGTCGCTGGTTGCTTCTGTTGTAAGAGGCATCCTGTTCCCTCAGACACTAACTGGAGTGTAGCCCTGATTTCATTCATCATATCCTGGTAACATTCTGGTCTAGAAGTTTATGATCTGTTTTGTTCTTTTCTCATATTTTGTAAACCTTACATAGCCTTTTAGTGAATTGGTTTACCAGTAATAATGGATGTTGGATGTTGTTATGTTATGTTGAACGTCAAACTACACCTGAGTTCTTGGCTGCATTTGACTCGTTTTGTTATTTTTATTTTGCATTAGTGAAGCAACCATTATAAAGAAATAGCGTAGCATTGACATATAAAGAGTCACATCATTTTCTTAAATACATTCTTTGATCTAGTAGCTGCACACTGTTAATTGACTGATGTTTATTATATTCCTTGTAAGCCACGAATATGAGTAGTCCACATGCTGGATCCATATAATAGCTTTTGCATAGATCCCAAGCTTATAGTACCTGCAGTGAAATTCTACGTCTTCCTAGACAAGGATCTCATTAACTTGTTGGATTTAGTAACCGGTGATATATGTGTTTCTACTAGTTTTCTGAATACCAGATTTCGCTAATGTGCTAACCTAAGTATTGCTAAATTCCGCAGGTGTACTTTCATTATCGCATTCCTTCTCCTGCTGACTGGAGCTGCCCTGAACGACCAGAGAGGCGAGGAGAACATGTACTTTGGTAGCTTCTGCTACGTCGTGAAGCCAGGGGTCTTCTCCGGGGGAGCGGTGCTAGCCCTTGCCAGCGTGGCGCTGGCCATAGTCTACTACGTCGCTCTGTCATCGTCCAAGGGTCCTCCACCGATGTTCGCAACCCCACAGAACCATGGCATCGCGATGGGTCAGCCTGTGATCCCGCAGCAGAGCAGTGAACCGGTGTTTGTCCACGAGGACACTTACAATCGGCGGCAGCAGGTCTCGTGACCACAATCTGTGGTTGGTTCAACAGGTCACCCTAACCAGGGTACCTGATGCAGTTGTGCTTGGTCTGTATAGGTTGCAGGTTAGAACAATAGCAGTCACCATTGCTGTTAGGTAGACTCAGTTTTTTTTTTCTTTCTTTCTACCCTCTTGTTTATCGAGCTTGTTGATCGAGCGTGCCTGTTTCATCGCTATGGATGTTTGATTCTGAATGAACTGGGTAATGTTGAAGAGAGCTTTGCATCATGTTCAGAGTTTGTCTGTAAACGTGGAGTTTCTTTATGATGGGATGAATGAATACTGAATCATGAATGAAATTGCATCGCATTCGCATTCAGAAACAAGTCAAGAAGGGACTGTCGACGCCAGCTCCTCCCTGAACAGAGCAATGGTGTCGCGGACGATGTCGCCGGGACGCACCGTCGTGGCGTCGAACTCCGTGACCCCCTCCGTGGCGTCGATCTGCAGCAGGTCGAGCTGGCTCCGCAGCAGGCTCGCCGGCATGAAGTGCTTCCCTTCCGTCGACCTCCGCAGCATCCTCTCGGCGATCACCTCCGCCGACGCCCGCAGGCACACGAACCTCACCCTGCAGGTGGCGTACTCCCCCGGCTCGTAGCCGCGGTCGGCGGCGCGGAGCACGTCCCGGTACCTGAGCTGAAGCGCCGAGCAGCTCACGGCCACGTCCTCACCGCCGTCCAGCCGCTCCCGGATGGCGTCCCGGAGCGACTCCAGCCACGGCGCGCGGTCCGCGTCGGAGAGCGGGATGCCCTCGCTCATCTTGGCTGGGTTTGTGCACAAGTTGAGAGTAGAGGCGTTTCAGTTCAGCAGAAGTTCAGAGATGGCAAAAATGGCAGAATGCCAGAGGTTTCAGGTTTCAGAAATGCGATGATGTGAATTGCGTATTGGGGTGGGGTGGTGTACCTTTGTTTGCCTGGGAATGGTAGTCGTCTGCTTCGATGAAGCTGCAGCCCAAGGCTTCGGCGAGCATTGCCGCGACGGTTCTGCGAGGTCGCAGGCAAGAAAAGAAAAGAGAGATTTAGTTTATAAGGACTGTCACTGGCAGAACGCCGGATGAATCTTGCCGATTTGTGCTATCTTTAAGCAATCTCGACCGAATTCTTGAAGCATGAGCGCAGAACAGAGTGAGGAGGATGAAGGATCTAACGATTTGCCGCAGCCGCTTACTCCCATGACCACGATCGCTAGCCCTGCAACCCAAATTTTCCCCAAAGAGAAGATCAGTTAGCGTTAGCAGTCACCCAATTGCAACCTATCCGGCTCTTGGCTGTTCATCGCAGCAGGTACTGTCAGCTCAGGATTCAGATCGCGAGCTTGCCTAGTACGTACGCACGAACAGCCGCTACGCGAGCAACGAGCAAATTCCAGACTGAATCTTGGTTGCTATTTTTACTTGGAGCACGCATGGAGGATGCAGCCTGCCGGCTCTGTAAGGAGCAGGCGTGGAGGCTGTGCTGTGCTACTGACCTTGATACGCGAGGGGATCGGAGCCGGCCATGGCGGGCGCTCCACCTCCTCCTCCTGTGGATTCTCGAGTGGAGGACTAGGGAATGACCAGGCGAAGAAGCCGACGATCAACAACATTTTCGTCAGGTTGAACGGGTCCATATTCTTATTTCCCGGTCCGGGATGCCCAAGTCGCTGACGTCAGCTAGAATGCATCCATTTTGTAGTTTGGTTTGACGGACATTGTATTTTGTTTCCTTTAAAAAAGACCTTTACCTTTGTAATTTGGTTTAATGATCATTGTCTCAAAGTATCATACGACTAGCAGAGAAGCATGAGCCGTACATGAAACTGAATACTGGCGATTGCCATCTGCTGTCGCTGACTCAGAGCTTATCACACACAGCTTGTCCAACAACTAATCTGGTGCTAACAAAACATACAGGGGTATCTCAAAGTCAATTATAAACAGAACATACGGCGCCCTACCAAGAAACATATCAACGTTGCATGAGAGAGCAGGTCCATCTGATCTAATGACGATTCTTTTAATTTTCCAATCCAGCCAAGCCAAAGCGGGCACATACCAACAAAGTAGCTGCCAGACTACGGCTACTTCCTAAACAACCCTGAGCTCTGGAGCGCCTTGCAGTACTCCGAGATGACAGGGGACTTCTTCACCATGTCCCAGATCTTCGCTGAGCTTCTCAGCCAGTCGCGCTCCGAGAGGTTCTTCGAGAATGACCTCGCTGGCCATGACAGGATCTGTAGCCACACGAGTGTTCACGTCAGACTGACTCGACCAGGCCTTGAAGAAATGTGCCAAACAGATATTACAAAGGAAGTTTAATGTTCAGCAACAAATATCTTTATTGGAATGAGTTCCAATTGATTGGATTTTTAATGTAACCTTAGCTTCTCAGAATTAACGAAACCAGTCCAGTTAAAAGCAGCAAACCAAGTAATGCTTCTCATGATTTGCTAGAGTACAGGTGTCAAGGATGATTAGATGAAACTCTAGGGTTTAGGAAGGAATGGCTTGCCCAGACTTATTTACATAAGAAAATGTTGTGTTAGATTTTAATAGAATCTTAATCAGTCAGTCCCATGTAACTGACACATTTGCGAATCACAAGCTAGGGTTTGTAAGTCTATTGAATATTCCCTTCCTATTATGCAAACTCCTCGGTGTAGCAACCATACCTGATCACGAAGCATCCCTAGCATGCACGAGTATGTTCCATACTCAAACTTTGTCGAGTTATCATGTCCTCTCAGGGGAAGGAGAAATATGTCCTGCCGACCGGAGGTTAAATCTTCAACTTTGGTGCTTGAAGAAACCAGCGAATCAGAAGCTTGACCTGTTGCATTAGAGCTCCCGATTCTAAAAGAGGATGAGTTGAAGTGCTTCTCGAGAGTTTTCCTTAGAAGCATGAGCTTTGAAGGAGAAAAATCTTGTCCCTGCAACCTGTTCAATTAGAAAGGCACAACAATGTAAGGTTCTTAGATTATTTAGAGCAAAAGAGTACAGGGCCGATTTAGGTGTGGAAGTATTACATTCTTGTAACACAGCAAAATAAATGCTATTTTTAAAAGGAAATAGTAAATGCTTTTACCAAGATAGAAAATGCCATACATCTCTTTGTTCAGCAACATAGAAATGAGCATATAATTTCCCTTAAGTAACAAAACAATGATCATGTCAATGGCTAATTCTCACCTAGCATGCACAAAACAGAGATCAGAAATATAGTCTTCACTGCCCAATTGGTCTTCATTTTTGTTTTCCTTGTCTTGGGATGCTGATGACGTTAACACGGATGGATCAGGTATGTTGTGCTTCAATAAATCAACCTGTGAAAATGTATTTGAACATCCATTCAGCCTTCTGCATTACTACCAGGTCCCAAAAGCCAAGTTATTGTAAACTATTTGGGATACGGAAGAAAAAATGTGATGGGAGAAACAGGTGTGATGGGATAGGATCATTAGAACGCTAGAACAACAGCTCAATTTTCTTGGAAATTAGGTGAAAACTCAGATCCTGAACCTACAGGTATAACTTCCTCTGTCTTCCAGACGGGCTAATGAAAGAACGACGGAAGGTACAAATTTAGAAGAGATAACTTACTGTAAGCATGAGCTCCCACATGGACAAATCATTCATCCCTTCTGACACGACCAACACTATATTACAAACAGATGCCAAGAAAACACCAAGCTACAGCAATTCCTTGCAGAATAACAGAAAATACCGATCAATTATTAGGTATTTCCAACGAACCAGCAGTAGCACAAGTGAGTTTAATAATTGTAAATACAGTCTTTACCTGGATTCCCATTAGTTCATGAGCTAAGTCTGCTGATAAGGGTTCACCATTAAGGACAGGAATTGTGGATGAACCATCTGGCCTCATCATATCGATTAGAACAGAGGGACTATACACTGGCTGCAGGGCAAAAGAGGTTTCCTTTCACAAATTGGTAAGCAAGACACTGATAACCGGTTCTAGCATTCCGATTGCAAAAAACAGAATAAAATTAATGTCATCTCACCTGAGCGTCAAGGAGTATAACTCGCTCATTAGATATCCTGATGTCAATACCAGTAGTACAGTGTTTCCCCATCAATCTTGTTTCCTCAGTTTGTGTAGGAAAAGGAGGAAGCATTCCTACACAGAATGTTCAAAGGAAATGAGTTTTTAGGCCCTTCCCCAGACCCCGCACAGAGCGGGAGCTCTTTGCACTGGGTACGCCCTTTTTAAGATTTTGGTATTGAACAAAATTTGAACCAAAATAGGAGTGCTCTTTGTTTAACTTCTAAGCAGCATTCGTGACGCTAAAGAGGCTTTATAACGTGCATACTGTGGTAGATAAAAATCTGAGGACAGCTAGATATTGCATGGTGGAAACATTAAGAACAATGTCCATGTGATCAATCGCAAAGTGCATCAACAAAATAATCATTAGAAGTGCTTCTCAGTATAAGAACCAATGAATCTAAGTGATGGAACGACGCATAAAAGAGCATAACAAAGTGAAGTTGCATCTTACCAGGTGAGCTTGCATCATGTCCATATAGTTCATTCATGATGGTTGACTTGCCTACACCAGGTGGGCCAAGTACCCCAATCACCATGAAATCATTGTTCTCGGTCAAATACTGCAAAAGCATGGTTGGGTTAGTAAGGTTTGAGGAATAATATCTATATATCTCATTATTAAAAAAAGAACACTTGTCACTAACTTTCACTATCTAAACCCCATCCCTTCTAAATACAGCACCCCCCGTGTTGCTCAATGGATCACAATTTCACATTAACATATGCATATGTAAAGTATGATCAGTAGAAGCCAAATAACATATCACAGTCAATCAGTCATCATATGTGAAGGAAGGGCCATCTACGGAACGATGAAGCACTAACAAATTAGAAACAACCCAGCGCTCAGAGGGAGGCTTAGGAGGTGTTTGGATACCCCATCCTAAACTTTAGTCCCTGTCACATCGGATGTTTAACACTAATTAGGAGTATTAG